GCCTTCAACTCCAAACCCAAAACTTTTTAGAAAAAGCCATGTCTGGTCAGAAAAGTGTTGCCACTGGAAAGCCATCCGTGCTGAAAGGCCTCACTCTTGAGACCCTTTCCACAGTGTAGCCACTGAGTCCAGCCACAGAGGTCATCTAGCTGCGCCTGCTCTGGCTGCTCCACCTGCTGCAGCGATCAGAAGTTAGGAGATGTTTTGGTAGCAGAGTACATTTCAGTCACCCAGAAGCAGCCCTGACAAAGCAACGGCCGCACCACAAACGTGGATGACAGAAACTGACCTGTGATCAAGACCCTTGGAGGCTCTGCTTCAGAGGCAGAGGTGGAGTAGAAGCTGGCGTCTGCAGGGATTTGCTGAGGGGAATGGCCCAGGAACCGCAAGGGCAAGGCAGCCTTCCAGCAGCTAGAGGCTCTGCTCTGCATGGTCCCACTCACCACCTGTCTCAGCATCCCTAAGATCAGCAGCTGCTCCTCAAATACCCTGCAAGAAAGAAGGGACAGAGTTCACCACTAACCTTACATCCATCCAGCTCCTAGAAAAAAGATGCTTAACTAAAATCACCACTACCTCCAATTGTCAGCTGAGGAGCAAAGAAACTGCTGACTCAGCCCACAGGAAGTCAGACGGGTGCCTGCTGCGGGCCAGGCCTGGTAAACGGATGGATGTTGCCCATGCAAAGCCTAGCCTCACCATAATGCTGTGGTGAGGGTTACTGCACAGAGAACCACATATACAAAACCAGCCACTGGATCCTGGTGAAGGTTTGCAATCTAGACTCCTGTGCACACACCATCTGAGGGGACGAGCAGGTCCCAGACTGTGCTGGATAGCTTCATTGTCAAATGGATACACTGGATAGAGGGAACCTCAGCAGAGTAATTTCCTCTACTGGACTGGCCTATGACCATGTCTTTGGGAACATTTTCTTGATTAATGAGTAATGTGGGAGGACCCAGGCCACTGGGCCTAGTGCTACTCCTGGGAGGCATGGAGTCCTAGGCTGAATAAGAAAACAGGCTGAGGAGCTGAGGGTGGTGGCGCACACCTGTGATCCCAGCCCTCGGGAGGCAGAAGCAGGCGGATCTCTGTGAGTTCAAGGCCAGCCTGGTCTACATAGTGAGGTCCAGGACAGCTGGGCTACAGGGAGACCCTGTCTCAAAAAGATAAAGAAAAAAGAAAATCAAAGAACAAAAAGAGAAAGCAGGCTGAGTAGGGGACAGGGAGCGAGCCAGTGAGCAGCGCTCCTCCATGGCCTGTGCTCTAGCTCCTGCCTCCAGGTTCCTGCTCAGAGTTCCTACCTGACTTCCCTCAGTGACGAACCGTGACCTGGGAGTTGTCAGATAAACCCCTTCTTCCACAAGTTGGTTTCGGTGAGTGTTCTGATCCACCAACAGAAAGCAGACGAGGACACAGACTAAACAATCGCGCATAGCTGCTCTCATGCCAACACTTCAGATAACATCTTTGAAATGAACTAGAAAAGCCAACAGCTAAGAGAAAACTGCCCAGCAGTATTTAGCAAGCTGTGAGTAGCCTGTTTGACTCCGTCCTCCTCCGAAAGGCTCACTTAGAAGAGCTATTTTCCCAGTGCTTCCAAGATCACAAACGTAAGTTTAATTCAGTCCAACTAGCTCCTCCTCCTCCTCAGCTTCACTACTGGCCGACTGTATTCGTCACTTTTCTGTTGCTGTGATAGAAACACTAACCAAAGCAATTTATAAAAGGAAGAGTTTATTTGAGCTTACGGTTCCAGAGGAATTACAGTTCATCTTGGTGGGGAGACATGGTGGCAGAGGTGGCTGGAGGAGGAGCAGAAGCTAAGCTCTACATCTTCCAGTAAGCACAGGAACCAGGAGAGCAACTGGAGATCTGGTGAGGCTTTAAGAACTCTCTAAGCCCACCCCCAGTGACGTGCTTCCTCCGGATAGCCACACCTTCTAAAATCTCCCAAACAGCGCCACCATCTGGGGACAAAATGTCCCAGTACTTGGAGCCTATGGGGGACATTTTCATTCAAACCACCACGCCGACTTTGACATCTTTTCTGGCCTCAAGAAGTGAAGAGGATTCAGACACAGTGTGGTTTGTATCCACACTGTGAACTGAAGTTCCCAGAAAAAAAAAGCCACCCATCTGTTAAAGACTGCACAGCTTATTATTGACTTTATTAGAACGTGTAGAGTTGGGGGTTGTAAATTTCCCTTGGGCTGTCTTTAGACCACTTAAAGGCCACTTGTTGCCCACTTCTGGGTCTGGCCCAACATGCTTATGACTGTCAGGTCAAAGCATGTGAGATCCCAAAGCATGTGAGAACCACAGCAGAGATGGCCCTGCTTTGCTCTAACCCCCTTACTCAATGTCTCCACCAACAGTATTTGAAAAGTGCCTTGAGTTACGACTTTTTGTTCCATAAGTATAAAAACTTCATGAAATTACTTCCCTCCAAGTGTGAGTGACCACGGCCCAAGAACACGGATTCAGGCTGCCCCCAAAAAAATGTTTCGTGATTTTAGGCACCAAACGAATACCAGCTTAAGAAAATGTTTTACATACTTAGGAGTCATTGGAGGGGATATCAGTGTTGTTGGGGATGTCAGGGATGTCAAGGGATGTCAGAGCAAGTAAAAATAAGGCAGGGAGAACCCCCATGCCTTCTGGTGGGGCAGGGGCACTCGCTCTACAGAGTACCCAAGGTCCTTCATTCCAGCTGACTCATAAATGGGCCTGGAACACAGATTTCCTGCCATGGGTACAACTCTGGCTTCAGTGCTAGGGCTCAGCATTGGAAGGGGGGTGTCCAGGGTTGGCCACATTACAGGGAATGTCTGAAACTTGCCTCAAATCTCCCTCAGTGGGATGCTGTGGGGAAATCCTCCCTATAGCCATGGTGGGACCCCAAATCAGGTTAAGAACTCTGCTCTCTGAGTCACTTAGAAAGTTCAAAGGGAGAATGAGGAAGGAAGTCAGGAGAACCCTGAACTCCCCAGGACATTTGAAACTCAAGGACACGTTCTAGTTCCCGAAAGCAAAAGAATGAATTGCCACGGTAAAAAGGGTTAAGAAAAAGTAAATTCTGAGGCACCAAACAGGTGCATGGTGCTGATCTTCTCATCCCTCAGAAGAGAAAACACAAGAACCTGTCGGGTTCTTAGCTGAAGGCCAAGTGCTTCGATCTGGCAGTGTGGACAGCGTGTGACTGTGCTGGCTCTTCCTAGTGCACTCACCAGCCAACACTGGTCCTCCTTCCAGGACAGAAGCAGGCAGGACTGTCCACTCTGCCTTCTAGAGGCCAAGTTTGTGCCTCCAGCAACTAGGGCCCCTTATACATAGTTTTAACAATGCATGAAATCAAAAAGTCAAACAAAATAGAAACTTCCAACAGTACGACTTTTCCAAGTGAAGACTGCTATCTTGTTACTGCCCAGTTAATTCGACACAGTCACATGCTACATACAGAGGTAGTCCCATTAAGATCATGTGATGAAAGGATGTTGTGGCTGACCGTGAGTTACAGTATCACCTACTGATACATTTCCCATATGTCCCTGCCCTTGGGTGACCATGACGACTCAGAAGGCAGCAGCCTTCAAATTCTTCAATTTCTACTTCAAGATTTCTTTACGTTTAAAAAACTGTGGACTGCAAAGTTTGTATGGATAATGCCACCTCTCAATATTTAAAAAGATGCTTATTGTTATTAATTCATTTAATGATATTAGCATGAAGCATATTTATGAAAAGAACTATATTTCCCAAAGTGGAAGGAAGGGAGGGAGGAAGGAAGGAAGGAAGGCAGGAAGAAGGAAGGAAGGAAGGAAGGAAGGAAGGAAGGAAGGAAGGAAGGAAGGAAGGAAGGAAGGAAACCATGTGGTGAGAAGAGTGTGTTGTTAGAAAGCAGCTGGTTCTCTTGTCAGCATACATGTTTAGGACATCCACTGAAGGACCTGGAGAAAAATGCAAACTCACGCAGAAAACTGGACAGTGTTTTCTTAACCTTTCCAATCAAACCTAAACATGCATCTTGAAGCATCTCCAAAACTCAAAGGTGAACTAACTTCTAACCCTTTAGTTGTTTTTTTGTTTTTTTGTTTTTTTTTTGTGGGATATGTGTGTGCCATGTGTACTTGTTAGTACAGATATATGCACGTGCATGTATGTATGTATACATGCCTGTAGAGGCTAGATGTCAACATCAGGTTTCCTCCATGGCTCTCCACTAAACGTGAAGCTTGTTCCACTAGGTTAGCTGACCAATGAACTTCTGGAATCTGCCCGTCTCTTCTCCTTCCCTCCCCTGAGTATGAGGTGTATACAGGCAAGCAGCACCACGATGTGAGTTCTGGGAACCTGAACCTAGTTTGGTCCTCATGTTTGTATGGCAAGTACTTTATCAACTGAGCCATCTCCTGGCCCATTTAATCCTTCTCAAAGGTTTGCTGCATGGAGGACCTGACTGTGCACCTCCCAACACACTTGCCCGTTGGTCTAACATGTTGGTGTCTTCACCCTGTATGGCTTTTAGCTCCATTCACTGCCCTTTGGAAAATGTTAGCTCAGAGAGTTCTGCACATCATCTAAATATTAGCAATACCAGAGAGTCACAATTACTACTGTCATCACAAAACTCCTAAGTGCTGGGAAGCCACCAGCTCACAGTGGGTGACAGAGTGGGCCTAACCTTTAGTTGTTCCCCTGAAATGAAAGACTCACTTTGATCATTTTTAGAGTCCATCTGCCACATATCCAAGTATGAATAGCCATGTTTTAAGTTCCAGTGTTCTATGAACCAAAGGGCAGTCAGCTCACAGTTCAGTCCCACAAGCACTCTACCATAAGGCAGCCGTCACATTTGACAGTAAGAGGAAAGAGAGCTTTATGGGTGCTTCCAGTCACCATCCAGCACCTTGTAAAGATGTGTGCTCGAAAGCCATGGCTCAGCAAAATCAAATGTTCGTAACAGTGAAAGAGTGGTTTTACTTGGGGGTTCTGGGAACTGAGCCAGCTAAGTGCTGTACCACTTGCTCAGCCCCTCAATTCTGTCGCTAGAATTTTTTTTTTTACTTTTAAAAATTTTATATTTTTTATGTGTACGTGTGTTCCTGCTTGTCTGTATATGTACCATGTGTGCAGGTGCCTGCAGAGGCCAGCAGAGGGCACCAGAACCTCTGGAACTACAGCTACAGGTGGCTGTTGGCTGCCAGATGTGGATACTGGTAATCAAATCCAGGTCTTCTGCAAGAGTAGCAAGTACTCTTAACCACTGAGCCACCTCTCCCAATTCAGGTGTACTTATTTTTATTTTATGCATATGTGTGTGTGCCTGAATGTGTGTGCACTACAAATGCAAGTGCCTGTGGAGGCCAGAAGAGGGCATTGGATGCCCTGGGGCTGGAGTTACAGGCAGCTGTGAGCAACCCAGTGTGAGAACAGAACTCAGGTCCTCTGCAAGAAAGCAAGCACCCTTAACCACTGAGTCAGCT